CTGTCGTGCTGCGGCACTTGCGGAAACCAAATTGAGAAAGGGAGAGGTGGTGATGGTGTTCCAGGAACCACATCAGACGAACGTTAACCATACGTTCAAAAAGTTTGCAGACACAACTTGTGAGGGCAATAGGGCGAAAGTCCTTAGGGGATGTTCCCAGAGACCCTGGTTTGCGAACAGGGAAGACAACGGCATCGAGCCAGTCCTCAGGGAGTGACGACAACTCCCAGATCTGATTATACAGACTCGGTAAATACTGAGACGTGCACGGAGGGAGATGGTGAAGCATCTCATAATGAATACCATCGGAGCCTGCCGCCATAGAACCGCGGAGGGCCAGGGCAGAACCGAAGTTCAGAGAGAGAGAAGGGATCGTTATAGGGGAGTCGAAGACGAGTGCAGAAATCTAAAGGACGAGACTCAAGGACAGGTTTACGAATTAGGAAAGATTGGGGAAGATGAAGACCAGAGCTAACAGAAGAAAAGTGGGAACCCAGTTCAGTAGCGACCTGCAACGAGTATGCCACAAGAGTACCATGGAGGTGAAGGACCGGTGAAACATCGGGAACGAACTTACCTGCTATCTTGCAGATACGCTTCCAGATTTGCGGCAGAGGAGTTTCGGACGTGATGGTGGAGACATAAGATGCCCAACATTCACGTTTAGCCATACGGATGGCCCTATGGGCCACCGCACTCGCTTTCCGAAAGAAAAGAAAAGAATCGGCCGTCTGCCAACGGCGGTGCCTCTTCCAGGCTGCACGCTTACAGCGGACAGCCCGAGCACAGTCTGCATTCCACCAGGGAATGCACTTCCGTGGACCCCGAGAGTTAGAGTGAGGTATAGAGCGGAGGGCAGCGTCGAAGACAGTGTCATGAAAAAGGAGAAGAGCACGAGGGAGAGGCAGAAGGGAGAGGTCAGAGAGAGCAGCACTGAGGGTAAATAGGTTCCAGTCCGCTTTAGCAAACTGCTACCTAGGGAAGGAGAGGGAAGGACGAAAAGAGAAAAAGGAAATAAGGATGGGGAAATGGTCACTGCCATGGAGGTCATCAAGAACCTGCCACGTGAAATCTAAGTAAAGAGAAGAGGAGCAAAGAGAACGATCAAGACAGGAAAGGGTGCGAGTCCGAGAGTCCAAATGAGTGGGCTCACCAGAATTCATTAGACAGGGAAGAAAAGATAAACGGCTCAAGAAGGCGACCTCGGGTATTCATCAGAACACCACCTCAAAGAGAATGATGACAATTGAAATCACCCAGCAGGAGCACAGGCTCCGGCAAGGAGTCCAGTAGGCGTTTCAGATCAGGAAGAGAAAGCGGGACACTTGGGGGGAGATAAATGGAACAAACTGTGTACCATTTCCCCACAAAGATACGAGCAGCAGAACAATGGAGAGGTGAAGGAAAAAGTAAGGGGACAAAGGGAACATCAGAGCGAATCAAGAGAGCAGAAGAATTAGGAGCCCCAGCAACAGCTGGGGGGAGGGGAGAGAGAAAGGAATAGCCACGAAAGCGACCAGGACGAGCACCAAGCATCGGCTCCTGGAGACAGACACAAAGGGGCGAAAACCGCGAAATCAGAAGTTGGAGATTGAGGAAATTGGCGTAATAACCTCGAACGTTCCATTGAAGAATAAACATCAACGAGAAGAGAAAGGACAACAACAGAGAACAAGGAAGAAACAAAGGCGAAAGAGCAACATAGCATGTTAAAGAATATCAGGGTCGGGATCAGGGTTAGCAAAGTCAGGGTTAGGGGGCATGGGTAAACTGAGCAAAGACGGAGGGAAGGAAGTGGGAGAACAGACCAGAGGTGGGCGGGCGGGGTCTGGAGGAGGAGGAGGAAGAGGAGGAAGAGGAAGAGACAACGGAGAGGAGCAGTCAAGGACAGCAGCAGGAAGAGGGAGAGTAGCAAGAGGGGAGCGCACCTCAGCAAGGGCAGCAACCGAGAGGGAAGCGGAGGCCAAAGAAACTTCCATAGCAGGAACGGGGGGTGCAACCACTGAAATGGGAGGGGAAGGAGCAATAGAGCCAGTAGTAGGGGCCAAGGAAGAAAGTGAAGCCTTCTTACCCGCCGGGGAGGAGGAAGGAGAGGAGCCAGGCTTACGCTTCTGACTTAAAGAGACCGGCGTCCCAGCAACTACATACCGGGCAACAGATTCAAGCGTCTCAACAGAAGCTGAACAAGAGCACACACGACGGCCATTAGGAGAGCGATGGACATCAGCCTGCACCGACAGGCGGCGGGGAGAGTCAATAGCTGGAGGAGAAGGATGGGAAGGAGGATCGGAGGGAGACAAGGAAGAAGACACAGGAGACATGACAGACCGGGTAGAAAGAAGGGGAACCCCAGACAGAGGACCAGGAGGGCAACCCTTCGGGACAGAACTCAAAGGAACAGAGGAGGGGGCAGTGGGCGTATCAGGGTCCAAGGCCCGGAAACGGTTGAGAGTCCGAGGAAGGAGGGAAGGACGAGGAGAGGAAGAGCGCAACACGCGAGCATAAGAGACGTTAGCATAAGGCGGGAGCCGACGAACCTGGCGCCTCGCCTCAGGAAGACAAACGCTCACGGAGCTTCAAGTTGAGGACGGCCGCCTCAAGCTTGTAATGGATACAGGCACGGGAGAAGGTAGGGTGGGCCTCATCGCAGTTGAGGCAGCGAGCCTGGGAAGAAGTGCACTCCGACTTAGAGTGACCTTTGCCCCCACACAAAGGACAGAGAGAGAGAATCCCAGAGCAGCAGAGGGCACCATGCCCAAACCTCCAGCACTTGTTACATAGCCGAGGAGAAGGTATATACTCCTGGACAGAGCACCTGGCACCAGCAAGAATGACAGAGGATGGAAGGGTCCTACCATCAAAGGTGATCTTCACAACCCGAAGGGGCTGACGGCGACGACCACGAGGGGGACGAGTAAACGAGTCTACCTGGAGGACAGAATGGCCTTGGGCATCAAGGCTATGCCGAATGTCATCGTGGCAGTCCTGTAGATTCCGAACACCGGTCGCAACATGGGGCAGGAGGAGAATAGTGCCAACACTGGCATTCAACCGAGCGTTCTTTGAGACCCGAACAGGGATCTCGCCAAGGCAGGATAAGGCAGCCAAGCGGGAAGCTGCATCCTGAGAAGGAGCAGCAACGACACGTGTACCGAGACAAGTGGGGTTGAAGGTAACAGACGCATCCACGGAATCAACAAGATGCCGATGGAGGGGGGAAATCGTCAGGAGGCGCAGAATCAAGAGGGAGGAGATCAAAGTATTTGGCCCATGAAGCGGGACCAAACAAGGCCTGATACGCATCAGTACGGGAAGGAATTGAGCGAGTGCGGCCGTGGCGTGGACGGCGTTGAGAACCCCCAGAGAGAGAGGGGTCAAAAGGCGCAGTAGTCACAACAAGAGACTTAGCCGCACCAGGGGACGAAGTGGTCACCACTGGGGGCTGGAGGCTTGACCCAACCACAGAGGAGGGAAGGGAGCTGGGGGAAGAAGTCAGGATGGTCAAAGGAGGAGTAAGGTTAGGGCCCAAAATGCAGCGGGGGCTAAAGAGCCCGGTCTTCCAATACAGGCCGACTCGGGGATTGGTCGCCGACCCCACGAGCCTGAGAGGGTACAACAGAAACATTCATCGACATATATACGAAGAGAAAGAACTTCATCCACAAATGTGCCCCCTTACCCACCATGGAGCCACAATTAGAGGTAGGACACCCAACAGGAAGCTATCGCCGATCATGCCGGGGCCCCCTAGGGGTGCTTCGTGAGTCAGTCCGTCGAGATCGGGTTCAGCGACGAAAGGGGGATTGACAATAAAAGGTTCCTCTCGCTCGAGACGTTGGGTACTACAGTTCTATGGGTGCAAGAGTATGCCCCCTCAAGCACCCGGGCATCAAAATAGAAGAAGTCCAAAGGAATAACCAAAACAAGCAAAAGGTCGGCAGGAAGCGACAAGCAAATAGGAGAAGAGGGGGGAGAAATACGAAACATAAGGAAAAGGAAAAACGATCTGGCACAATTAGAGAAGACAGCAGCAGGAGTGCCAGGCCACAAAAGGACAGAGGACGGTCCCACGGAGCATCACACTCCGGCAGCCGTCCACGAAGCCCCATCACGGCGCCAACGGGCCGGATGGGGAGGGGGATGCCCCAGGGAAGATAACCCTGTCACGCAGGGGCAGTACTCGCAGGGCACTTAGAGAAGGAAGCCCCTAAGCGCATGCAGCCCTGGTACTGATGAGGAACACCTGGCCACCGCACAACACAACACATGGCACTGAACGCCACACAAGGCAAACACCGCCTAGGAAACTGAGGCCAGAGAAGCGTCTATCCCGGTTGACATTAGCTTACGAATTTATGCTAGGCAGCCGGTGCAGTGAGGTCCGGGGCTCCCCCCTCCCCCTCTCGGGGTGGGGAGGGCTGTGCGGACGATTGGCATGGCAGTAAAGTGTGATGTTTGTTTGTTTCCTTGGGATTGTAGGGAGTTCTACCTCTCTGTTCGGTTTTTTGTTTTAGTTTTTTACCATGTGGGGTTTGTTTTGTTATGCCTACCTTTCTTGGTGCCTAACCCCGGTCAATGGCAGATAAGGAAAACCCCAACCACAAGGAGGTTTTCCAGGGCCATTGCTCCTTGAAACCTCTGAAGGGGCCAGGTTCTGGCGCTGGTCCCTGGTAGGTCTGAACTCATTAACTAATGTCCCGGTCTAATATAACACACATTAGCCCAATAAGCTCCAGGGAGCCGTAGGGGTTCCCCACAGAAAAGAGTACTTTACACAGCTTTTCGTATTCAGATTCAGTAGCTTTATTAATTACAAATATTTACATTCAATCCTAAAACGTTTTTCAATAGCAATAGAAGCAGCCACCAAAATAAGTTAGCCCTCATTAGCAAAACCAGATAAAGGATAAAATTGTGCTGTACATCTCTATTACTTCACATAGCAACCTGAATTATAAATAACTAACAAACTGATTATGATTATGACTAAATGTACTTACCAGTTATAGAATTAAGAGTTCCTGATCTCTGTTTATGTTCAAAATTGAGGTTGTGAGATGGGTCTTGCCGTGCCTTATTTGGAGAAAATTCTTGAATACAACTTCTCGTGACCAAGTGTTTATCTTCTCTGAAAAAAAAATCCATGTCTCAGAAATATGAACAAAATGGGCATGGACGGAAGTTCTTATCCCACTTTTGATTATTTATTGGAATCAAGCCAAATATGATAAAAAGTTCTTTATGTTTAAATCTGCTTTCTTGATGTTGTGAATGAATTAACTTTTATTTTACCAGATATTAATCCTCAAAATGCAACTAATCTTCAAAATTGTCATCTTAACACTTTGGCGTACCCAGCGTGCCACCCCTCAACTGTGCGATTTGGGTCCCAGCGTTTCACGGGAGCACGCGTTAATTCTGAAAAGTGTATACTCTCTTCAACTTTGTCACCTCAATTCTCGTCCTACAAGATTAAATTTGGTATCATTGTGTTCCCAATAGAATTCTCTACAGCACTAAATGCATATAAACTCCAAAAGCCCGGCTAATTACCCACAGCAAACAGAGAAAGTGCGAACGAGTTACCCAGGAGCGCGCAAAAGCGATAAAATGTGCTCACTCTGGTCACCTCAATTTTCGTCCTAGGTCTTTTATTTTGGTATCAATGGGTTCGCAATAGAATTCTCTAGAGGAATATTAGCATATAAAATAAAAAACTTGGTCACGCTCCACCCGCCGACGACTTGAAGACGGGCCACACGTTAACCGCGAGTGAGCGCCCAGACGCCTTCCAGCTACACTCCCAATTCCTGCCCACAAATGTTTAGTATTTAGTATTTTAGTATATTTAGTATTATAGTTTAGTATTTTTTGTGTAGTAGCTGTACATCACACAAGCATTGTAGATAGCCATTTGCCCAAAATAGAAGGTCATTTTCTTCGTCCATTTGTGAGTTTTCCTTATGAAGTGATAATATTTGATCTTTTGATCAAAGTGATCAAAACCTTTCATGTTTGTATTGTAGTCACAGATTGCATTCGGCTTGTTGACAGTTACCAAACAGTCCCCAAAAAATTGGATAAAAACCTGATTTTTGGCGATTATTTTTGTGGACGACGCAGCATTGTGTCATGCCCGTGATTACCGACAGTAAACGGATGAGGTAGCATTGCGTCACGCCCGGGCGAAAGCGTTAAATTAATTGGATTTATTTTATATAAAATATACTTTTTCTGGGGGTAGCCCCTTTGGCTCCCCGGAGCTATAAGGGCTGATATGAATGTATTAGACCCTGGCATCAGTAAAGAGAATAGAGTTCTTAGGCCTACCGGAGACCATGAGCTAGAACATGGGGCCACCCCCCCTCCTCAGAGAGGCACAAAAAGCAATGGCCTATAAAAAAAACTTGTGGTTGGAAAGACTATGTCTGCCACTGACCGGGTCAGGCACCCAGAAAGGTAGGTAACCCAAAACAAACCCTACCTGGTTAAAAAATGCTACTGGAAGCTGAACTATTGGACAGAACTTCCCAAGCTAATAATGAGCAAATGAGCATGATGTCACAACCGTCACTGCGCTGCTGTCTGTGCAGCTTCACCATCCCAGGGAGGGGTAAGGGGGAGCTCCAGACTTCCCACGCCAACTATCAACCCTCAGTTCTTTGACTGATGGGAGACTTGGCGGTCATGCGACTCTGGCTCCGGATCTCTTCCAGTGCTGTGCCTTGTGGTGTGGTCCTGTCCTGTGGTGGTGTGCGAGCCAGGAGTAATTTCATAAATACTTGGGCTGTATGTGCCTAGGGTTACCTTCCCTAGGTGCCCTGTAAGTACTCCCCTTATGGCTTGCAGTTATCTTCCACAAGTCGCTTGGGGTCTACCTCCATGGGGTCTTTTGCTGCTCGACGATTGCCTGCCCTTAGGACAAGTTGGGTATTTCATGCGCCACTGTTTGTCTCTGGGTAGGAGGTAGTTTCATCATTGGTAGGGGTACAAGGTACTGTACAGCTTGTTTTCATCATAATATAGTGGCCGACTCTGTTCCACCTGGGTGGTTGTGCTCTTACAGGGTTTTTATTTTTGTTTTGTTTTTCTTGCCTGGTGGAGGGTCTGCCCCCTTGATGTTAGTACCTCTTATATATATTAGTGGTCCTCCACTAGGTCCCTGTGAGGGTACACGTTCCAAGGGTTCAGCTTTTAGCAGTTCGTTTGGTAGTTTGGGGTGCCGTACCTTGCCTGGGCTTCCCTAAGCAGGGCGTCTAAGGGCCCTGGAAACCCCCCGCTGGGGCTCAGTGGTCCAATGGACGTGTCTCCTGGGTTCCATCTCACTTTGTGCAAGTTTGAAGGTTGCTCTGTCCCCTTATCTCAGGGAGACAATCACTGCACGTGCCTCTGTCATGCTGCCTGTTGGATCCGTAACACCTTCAACCCGGAGTCCTTCAAGTGGTGTTGCTTGTTTGTACTCCAGTTCACCCAATTCACTGATCTTTATATTCGGAAACAGGCAGCTTCGGTGTTGCAGGTGCATTTTGGGTTGCTGCAGCGCGCTAGGATGGTTGCTCACTTCAGATGCCCCGGGACTGCTCCGTTTTGGCTATAGGGACTTGGATTTGGGAGTGTTAGTTCCCTCGACTTCGGTTTCATCTGAGCCCCCTTGTTCTTCCCCTCCTGCTGTTCATCCTGTCCACTCCCTTCCCCCACCCCCTGCTTCCGGCTCCAAAGCATCTGAGGGTTTGGAGTCGGGGCAGAGTTTAGTTGGTGGCAAGACTTGAGCAGTTTCAGAGGATACCCCTTCTGGTGTGATGATGGAGGCATTCGAGCCTCTTCCTCCAGCCAGTGCTTCAGGGTCTCACAAGTATACTCCCTTTGTTTCAGCTTTTCTGGCAGCCTCTGTTTTTTCTTTTGAGTCAGAGGATTTGGAGGATGGTTTGGCCCCAGGTCCTGGTGTGGAGGTTCCTGGGGAGGGGAGGGGGCTGACTTGGGCCCAGTTTGACCCTGCTGGGTTTTAGTACCCTCTGAGTGGAGTTTTCTTATCCCCCCCTCCTTGTATGAATTTTATATCTTCTTGAGGTTATCTTGAGATGATTTCGGGGCTTTAGTGTCCCCGCGGCCCAGTCCTCGACCAGGCCTCCACCCCCAGGAAGCAGCCCGTGACAGCTGACTAACACCCCACTATACTATATGGTGTCAACCCCACCCTGGGTTTCGTTCTGGGGCCAACACTGGGTCTGGTGTGCTGGTCTCGGCGGTGCGGCCCTCGGCTGTTCTGTTGAAGCTGTTTGCGCTGATCCTACAGGAGGCTGTGTCTGTTTTTTGCTTCAGCACTCGAGACGGACACCACTTGGATGGTGTCCCTGGACCTCCGAGATGCTTAATGGCATGTCCCAATTCATCCCGAGTTCTGGGATTGGCTCGGTTTTGTTGTGGGGCATCAGGCTTACTGCTTTTGTTGCATTACCTTCAGCTTGAATCTGGCACCTCGCGTGTTCACACGCCTTACCCGACTCGTGGTGGCTTGTCGGCATCTCTTAGGGAGTTCGGGTTCTAGCCGACCTCGACGACTGGCTGATGTGGGCTCCCAGCCGCCTGCTTAAGCACCATCTGAGCCACCCTAGTCATTGGACTGGGTCCTATCTTTTCTCTCTTCTCCTTGGTTTAGTGTGGCCCCTTCGGTTCATGATTGTTTTGTGAAGGCTCTTTTCCTGTTAGCGTTGGCCTCTGGGGTTGGGGTTGGGAAGCTTCATGCTCTCCTCTGGCACAGAGGGTTCCAATCTTTTGGTCTTGGTGGTAGGTTTGTTCGTTTGCAGCCTCCTTCTTTGCTGGTGAAGAATGAGACTGCTGCTTTATGGAGGGGTCCTTGGGTTGTTGATGCTTGGTTGGTTCGGCTGAGGATGCATCATGTGTTGTGTCCAGTTGCAGTTCTTCATCGTTACTTCATTGCCACGGCCTCTATGGCCGGGGACCCGGTATAGAGAGACGGGTCAAAAGGTGCAGCAGTCACAACAAGAGATGGAGCCGTGCAAGGGAACGAGGCGGTCACCACAGGAGGCTTGGGGCTCGACCCAACCACAGAGGAGGGAAGGGAGCAGGGAAGAAGAGTCCGGTTTGGGCCTAAACCGGGCCCTGTAGCGGGGGCTACAAATCCCGGCCTTCCAGGACGGTCCGACTCAGGGGCCTGGTCGCCCACCCCATGAGCCTGAGTAAGAGAAGTCGTGTCGTCATCCATATAGCAAACAAAATCAAAGGTTTGGACCTGAAACCAAGGGATACCACCTACCAGGGCAGCCAGGGAGGCCGAGCGCGGGCCAGTGCAGGAAGGGTGCGTCGTCCCCAGCGGTGCTCCCCAACCATCCACTCAGGGTGGCCCCTCACAGGCGACCCCTCCATCGGGCAGTCCAATGGCTCTCAAGGCCCCTACATGGTGCCCATCAGCCAACCCGTTCTCGCACTTTCGTACATTAAATATTGACTTGTTAAATAAGTGCATATGTGACATACTAATTTATTGTGAATATTTTAGTTTACCTTGAAAAGCTTCATAGAAAACACTCTCCTTACCTAACCTTCTTAGTATGTTAAGATAAGCATCTTATTGCTTCGTAATTACAATTATTACTTAACCTATTATAGGTATAGGTGCTTCTCACCCAGAGGAAGTGGCCAGCTCTCAGTCCCATGGTGTTACTCACTCCTGTACAAGCCAAATGAAATCTATTCTTACAGATATAACATTCAATTCCCGTTGCCTTCGACTTTAAGGAGTTGTTACAGTGGGTGCAAATTTGTTTGTTTACTCCCATTTTGCCTTATTTTGTTGTATATATCTATATGTTTATAATATTATATGTATACCATATATGTGTAATAATATATATGTTTATTTGTTCTACTGCATAGGCAGTACTTATCGCACGGTCGAGGGGCGAGGGTCCCAGAGGTTGTACAGTTGACACGTTTTTGTCCCAGGCCACGGCTGGATGCCATCAGTTGCCTGTTACTTGAGTTATAACACTGATATATTAATTTGCCTGTATTACCATAAGGGATTTTCTGCTTTGTTTCCGACTTGCAATGGTATTCACTTTCTCTATTACTAATTTCTCGATCCACATTCCCCTATTACACTTGTTGGAAACCAATTTGCTAGCAAGCACACACAAGGTGGGTAGGTAGCTTCAAAGAGCCGTAGGGGGACCCATCCAGAAAACCATCACTGACTGTAACAAAAGGCCTATTTCTGAGTGAACCCTAGTGGCTTCCTTGACACTCTCCCTTCCTCAGGGAGTTGGGATAGTTTTTCCATCACTGAGGGGGTGATGGAAAAATCGAGGGTGGAGAAGCTGGCTGACCCAGTCTGCCTCCCTTTTCTCCCGAAATGAGGTGAGAAGTTGGGGCAAATGAGCTTCCACTTGTCTCATGAATTTTTGATTGTCTGGTTACATTGTTGGGAGAGATCTTTTGGCAATTTTGAGGAGCTGATCTTCCTTCTAAAGAACAGTGGTTTGTTTTGTTTCACTGACTTTCTGGGTGCTTCTTTGGATAATTTTATGATAGTGCCCTGATCAACCAGGCTGTGACTCATACGTCAGGATGCGAGCAGCCGAGTCTAACAGCCTGGTTGATCAGTCCAGCAACCAAAAGGCCTGGTCGACGACCGGGCCGCAGGGACACTAAGCCCCAGAAGCACCTCAAGGTAACCTCAAGGTAACCTCAAGGTGCCACTGCTCTGTGCCTCTTAGAGGGAAGGGGGCCAGGTTCTAGGTCATAGTCCCTGGTAGGCCTAAAAGAACTCTGCGATTGAGAGTACCTTTTGGTTTGGTACTACATCATCCATGTAGTTTCAGGTAGCCACTGGGGCTCACCCAGAAATAAGCTTTTCATAACATTCAACTGTTTTTTTTATTTCTTTTGTCAATGGTATTATTTATTAGTGACAATTTTATTTGCCTAGATCATGGCCTTATTAATAATATTGTATCATTCTGCCAATCCTATCCTACTCTTATCCTTTACCAAACATACCTTATCCAGGTAACTGTACCAAAATTTTAATAGCACTTACCATTTTTCAGCCTTATTTAATTCATGTTTTTCAAACCATAAATCTGTATCTTATGTTAAATATAAGCCCTTTGATAATCCTCTTTTACTTGATGCATACAGTGTTCTTTAGAATTAGTTTTTAATAATGCTGCATTATTTGAGAAATATCAAAATATATTTCTCATGGTTTTGATTTTTTCACATGTTTTTATATATTAAAGTAATAATTACCTCTTTAGGAAAATAGATAATCTGTAAGATGTAAATGAGCTTGACAGTAAAAGGCCTGACAGTAGGAGTACAACAATTCTCAAAAATATTCACAGAAATCAAAGGCTTGGTAGTCATAATAATGGTGTTCTGCAAACTTAAAGGATGCCATGACTTCCAGAATTCGCCATTCACAGTAAATATTAAAAAACTGAATAACACACTTACGAGTCACTCTCTTCACCACTAGAAGTACGTCTAGTGAATTGTCGGCGACGTTGCCGTGGAGGTCTAAAGGCAATTTTTCTTATATCATCTGTGTCCTGAGAATTACTTCGCTCAACATTACAGTGAGGTCTCCTCCAGAGAAGAGCTGGGTCTACACCTGTCACTTCCTCCTGAGAGCAAGAAAGAGATGTCACAGGAGAGGATTTTTATTTATTCACTTTCAGAGCTGAAACTAATTAAAAAAACAGTGTTGAATGTAATGAAACACCATTTTCTGTATGACTCTGGAGGATTCCAAGAGCTATCCAGGCTGATATGTATATTATTAGACTTTGGCATCAGTCAATGTGAATGGAGGAGGAGTTCTAGGCCTACTGGGGACCACGAGCCAGAACCTGGGCCCCTCAGAGAGGCACGAGGAGCAATGGCCTATAGAAATGCAAATGTGATTTGGAGCATTCTATGTCTGTCTCCAACCGAGCATTCTATGTGTCCCATCGACTGGGCATTCTACGTCTGCCATCGACTGGTCCAGGCACCCAGAAAGGTAAGTACCTCAAAACACACCCCTATTTTGGTTAAAACTACTACTGAAAACTAACGAGTGGACAGAATTCCCCAATTGAATACGAGCAAATGAGCATGACATCACACGTGCCGCGCTGCTTGTCTGAGCAGCTACCCCCTCTCCAGGAGGGGAAGGGGGAGCCCCAGAACCCTCGAGCCGGCTATCCACACCCCCAGTTTGAGGCTGGATGTCAAAACACACGAAAAGACTGCTGACCTGGGGGAGAGAGGGTTGCTGGGGTGCCTCCGGGTCTCACCCAGAAAATGGTGTTTCATTACAAACACTGGTTTTCTAAGGGGGAAGCCCCTGCTGCTCCCTGGAGCTACATCACAAAAGACAAAACAAGAGGGACTTACCCAGGAGGCGGTCAACGCTCACTCCTCAACTTGAAGTCGAGCCAACAGGCTGCAACTGCGGACCCAAAGCAACACAGGCTTGACTAGGCCCAGGAACATGTACGATGTATTGTGCAGCCAGGACCCTGTTCGACCAGCAAAACCCCCATGCCAGAATGTCAGCCCAAGACATATTACCGAAGATGGCAGCAAGCGCAGACAACTTACGAATGTCATGGGCACGAGGATAGACTGCAGGCTGGCTAGACAGAATAATCTGTGGACGACCTGAGAGATCTGAACCCTGGAACAGGGAAGAAGAGAAACAGGATCAACCCAAAGCGCATCCCTGGTCACAGAGGCCGTGACTCGCAAATTATGGCGGAAAGCCGCAACCGGACACAACACATGATGCACCCTTGGCCTCACCAACCAAGCTTTAACAACTCAAGGACCACTCCAGAATGCAGCAGTCTCATTCTTCACCAGAAAAGGAGACGGCTGCAAATGAACAAACCTATCACCTTGACCAAAAGTGCAGAAACCTCTGCACCCAAGCAGAGCACAAAGCTCCCCGACCGAAACCCCCGAGGCCAATGCCAACAAGAAAAGAGCTTTGGAAAAAAATCCTGAACCAAAGGGGGCAACAACAAACCAAGGAGAAGATAGATATGAGAGAACCCGATCCAAGGACCAGAACGGCTCAAGGGGCGCTTGAGCAGGAAGGTGAAACAACGCACAAGAATGCATGCGAAACAGAGCTGAAATAACATCAATACCGAATGCAAGCTGCATCGGCTCCACCAACGCCGCACTGACCGATAGAAAAATGAGGGCAGTAATAAGAGGAAGTGCATCAGACTGGAGAAATGTCACAAGCGGATTACCTCAGGGTTCAGTTCTTGCACCGGTAATATTCATTGTCTACATAAACGATCAACCAAATGGAATACAGAATTATATGAACATGTTTGCCGATGATGCTAAGATAATAGGGAAGATATGAAAATTAGATGATTGTCATGCCCTTCAAGAAGACCTGGACAAAATAAGTACACGGAGCGCCACTTGGCAAATGGAATTTAATGTTAATAAATGCCATGTTATGGAATGTGGAATAGGAGAACATAGACCCCACACAACCTATATATTATGTGAGAAATCTTTAAAGAATTCTGATAAAGAAAGAGATCTAGGGGTGGTTCTAGATAAAAAAAACTATCACCTGAGGACCACAAAGAATATTGTGCAAGGAACCTATGCCACGCTTTCTAACTTCAGAATTGCTTTTAAATACATGGATGGCGATATACTAAAGAAATTGTTCACGACTTTTGTTAGGCCAAAGCTAGAATACGCAGCGGTTGTGGGTGCCCATATCTTAAGAAACACATCAGCAAACTGGAAAAGGTGCAAAGACATGCTACTAAGTGGTTCCCAGAACTGAAGGGCAAGAGCTATGAGGAGAGATTAGAGGCATTACATATACCAAAACTAGAAGACAGAAGAAAAAGAGGTAATATGATCACTACGTATAAAATAGTAACAAATTGATAAAATCGATAGGGAAGATTTCCCGTGACCTGGAACTTCTAGAACAAGAGGTCATAGATTTAAACTAGCTACCAGCTACCACAGATGCCAAAGAAATAAAAGAAAATTCACTTTTGCAAACAGAGTGGTAGATGGTTGGAATAAGTTTTAGTCTCCGTGGTGTAGTGGTAAGACACTCGCCTGGCGTTCCGCGAGCGCTATGTCATGGGTTCGTATCCTGGCCGGGGAGGATTTACTGGGCGCAATTCCTTAACTGTAGCCTCTGTTTAACGCAACAGTAAAATGTGCACTTGGATGAAAATACGATTCTTCGTGGCAGGGAATCGTATTCCAGGGACCTGCCCGAAATGCTACGTGTACTAGTGGCTGTACAAGAATGTAACAACTCTTGTATATATCTCAAAAAAGAAAAAAAAAAAAAAAAAAAAGTTAGGTGAGAAGGTGGTGGAGGCCAAGACCATCAGTAGTTTCAAAGCGTTATATGACAGAGTGCTGGGAAGACGGGACACCATGAGCATAGCTCTCATCCTGTAACTACACTTGGGTAATTATGTGACACCTCCGGGATGCACATTGCATGAGCATGCATGTTGGGTGTGACGTCATCGCTCAACTTGTCATTTACGACATTGTTAAGTACAATTAATTTTTTTTCTCATCGTCAGGGAACACAACAGAATGAGGATTTTTTTTTCTTTTTTTTTTTTTTCACTTGTGGGTGTTGAAGGCCAAATAGCCCAGAGCAGCTTAGGGGTTAAGGATGCTATAGTCTGTGGCAGTGATACCATATATATATTTACAGCCTGACTGCCCTTTGATTCTAAGGATGTATGGTAGAATGCTATACATGTACTACTAGCAGTACATTAATTAAGCAAACAGACTCAAATACTCAACAGAAGTATTTTACAGACTAATCAATAACACATATATTATGTCACATAATGAAACATCTGACTTACATCTCTCAGGTTGAAGGTTATCTCTAGGTTACGAGAGAACTCTTCAGCAAATTCAGGGTAAAGATCGAGGACATCAAGGATATCATCCCTCATGATGCGGTGCAGGTCACAGTAAGTGAGAGCTCGTACATTACACGATGACTTTCCTATGGTTGGGTAGATACAAGGATTCTCCCCAAATATGTCATCTTTACCTGGAGATGAGAGAAAGGATGATAAGAAAAGGAGATTCTCACATGTAAGAATTTGTTAAATTGAATATATATTGATATGCTAACAGGTTGTAGCATATTGTTGCTATTGCTATTGTAGCAGATTGTTATATTGAACACATATTGTGTGCTACCTAATTGCCCATTATATATGTACCCAAGCCATACAACTTTACCATTGTGATCATTGCTGTCATCTTATATGTGCTATCAATATGCTTACTAATCTTCTCAAATTATCAATCAAGCTATCAATGCTATCAATGTGCTTTAATATACCTACTAATCCTTATAAATTTTTCTTACAATGTACCTATTAACATTTTATAAATTTTGCTAAAATTTACCTACTTAATTCTATCTGTTAGATTAACAACTGCACTGCGCAACGCGCCTTGAGGCTCTTGACGGGTGGTGCACAACACGCCTCAGGGATTTCATAGGTACAGTATAGCATATAATTCAAAACTCCTGCGGCTACACGGGGATCACATCAGCTTCCTCAGGGCTTTCCTAAACAGACGCCATTTAAAAAAGAAAATCGTGGGCAACCTTCCCAGGTGTGAAGGCCTCAGTACTGAGTGAGCAACCAAGGCTGGCACATGCAGCATGAGCTAACAGCATTGTTGTTCAGCTTGTGACCACAGCATCACCTAAAAGTGTCCAAATATATTTATGTATCTGGGATTATTTAGCCATGATAGTATTACAGAAGAACCTGACTGTAATAAAAACTATGTACAATGTTCAGATATCAGTGAATAAATGCTGTTCAAGATGTTCACAGCGCTAGCCACAGCACACTGCCATTATTTCATCCATCTACAATTCATCAAACGACTTCTCGTTTCCTTTCCAAAATAAACACGTGGAAAATTATTAATTTACATGATTTAGTGACCAGAATTCTGATAATTGCAGGATTGTAGTGAGAATTAGCGATGTGCATAGTATGATGGGAGGAGTAATCTTGGTGAGGGAGGGAGGGTCGAGGGAGTGTCGTCTGCCTGCTGGTGTAATTACCTAAGTGTAGTAACAGGATGAGACCAACGTTTGTGGTGTCCCATCTTCCCAGAACTTTTTGTCATAACGCTTTGAAACTACTAACGATTTTCGCCTCCACCACCTTCTCACCTAACTTGTTCCAACCATCTACCCCTCTGTTTGCAAAAGTGAATTTTCTTATATTTCTTTGGCATATATGTTTAGTTAGTTTAAATCTATGACCTCTTGTTCTTGAAATTCCAGGTCTCAAGATATCTTCCCAATCAATTTTATCAATTCCTATTACTATTTTGAACGTATCTATCATATCACCCGTTTTCTTCTGTCTTCTAGTTTTGGCATATTTAATGCCTCTAACCTCTCTTTGTTAACCTTGCCCTTCGGTTCTCAGAGCCACTTAGTAGCATGCCTTTGCACCTTTTCCAGTTTGTTGATGTGCTTCTTAAGATATGGGCACCATACAACCGCTGGATATTCCAACTTTGGTCCAACAAAGTCGTGAACAATTTCTTTAGTATTTCTCCATCCATGTATTTAAAAGCAATTCTGAAGTTAGAAAGTGTAGCACAGGCCCCTCGCACAATGTTCTTAATGTGATCCTTAGCTGATAGTTTTCTATTTAGAACTACCCCTAGATCTCTTTATCAGACTTCTTTAAAGATTTCTCACAAAATTTATTGGTTGTGTGAGGTCTATATTCTCTTATTCCACATTCCATAACATGGCATTTATTTACATTAAATTCCATTTGCCAAGTGGTGCTCCATATATTTATTCTGTCCAGGTCTACTTGAAGGGCATGACAATCATCTAAGTTTCTTACCTTCTCTATTATCTTAGCATCATCAGGAAACATTCATATAATTCTGTATTCCATCTGGACAATCATTTATGTAGACAATGAACATTACTGGTGCAAGAATTGAACGCTGAGGAACTCCGCTTGTGACATTTCTCCAGTCCGATACACTTCCTCTTATTACCGCCCTCATTTTTTTATGTCAGAAAATTTTTCATTCATGTTTGCAGCTTACCTGTCACCCCTCCAATGTGTTCCAGTTTCCAGAACAACCTCTTACGTGGAACTCTGTCGAAAGCCTTTTTTAGGTCCAGATAGATGCAGTCAACCCATCCATCTCTTTCCTGTAAAATCTCTGTGAGGCGATCATAGAAACCGAGTAAATTTGTTACACAGGATCTTCCAGATCGAGAAGTCTGTATCTGATATTGTATCATTTCTCTCCAGGTGTACTACCCTTTTAGTTTTAATTATTTTGTCCAATTTTTGTACTATTACACTGTCATTGATATAGGTCAACAATTGAGGGGGCTTTCCCTGTTGCCACTTTTGTAGATTGGAACTATGTTAGCCTTTTTCCACACGTCTGCTACAACTCCAGTACACAGGGATGCCTGAAAGATCAAGTGAAGTGGTATGCTGAGCTCAGATGCACATTCTCTCTGAGCCACCTTTTATTGACTGGACTTACCATACCAGCTTTGTGGTTTGCTATGGTGAACACAAATGTAGTACTTATATATAACATGTGTATAGAGTGTAATAACAGCAATAGGATTATGTTGGGAGCCGTCATTTTCGTGAGGGAGGTGCGTCATCTGCATGACTTGTCATGTTGTTTATTGGTTGTGACTATGGTCTTTGGGCACTATACCAGCTTATTTGTACAGGTATGGTAAATAAAACATGTAGATACTTATATATAGTGTGTGTATATAATGTAATAACAGCACAAATAGTATTGTTGCAGGAGAAATATTAGTGCACCTGGTCTTGAACCAGTGACGGCAGACCCACCAGCTGACTGTGTAGCTACGTCTCTTATTTATTTATTTATTTATTTATTTTTATTTATTTATGCATATACAAGAAGGTACATTGGGAATGTGAGGATACATAATATGGTAATTACAGTCTTGTAAAGCCACTAGTATGTGCAGCGTTTCGGGCAGGTCCTTAATCTAAGAAAATTTTAAGTAGGTAAATACTTGCAAAATTTAGACAAAAAAAATGATAACAGTTACATGGAATGAAAAAAGAAGATGAGAGAAAATTGTAGGTACAGTATATTAAAGCACATAGGTAGCTAAGATTGATTGCAATGACAGCTTGAATGATAGTTGACAAAAATTGGTAGTCACAATACAGAGCATATGGCTAGCACAAAAGAAGACAGCAATGAACACAATGATAAGGTTGTTTGATACTACATAAAAATTAGGAGATTGGGTAACACTAGGTACAGAGCAAATTTAAAGCTCAGTGTAGGAAACTAAGAAGATGAAATTAGGTACTTTTTGGTTTTGCTTTTAAATAAGGCAAAAGTTTTACAGTTTTTCAATTCACTAGGGAGTGAGTTCCATAGACTAGGTCCCTTAATTTGCATAGTGTTTTTACACCGATTAAGTTTGACCCTGGGGATATCAAAAGATATTTATTTCTGGTGTGGTGAAAATGGGTCCTATTACATCTGTTCAGGGAGAATTTCAGAGCATGGTTTGCATTAAAGGACAGGGTTTTGTAAATGTAGTTGACACAAGAGAATGTGTGGAGGGAGTTAATATTTAGCAAGTTTAGGGATTTAAACAAGGGAGCTGGATGTTGTCTGAAAGCAGAGTTAGTTATTATTCTGATAGCAGATTTTTGTTGTGTGATGATGGGCTTAATGCCTGAAGTCACCATACAAGCTTAGATGAATAGTTATGGTGAACAAAGCATGTAGATATTTATATATAACTTCTGTGTATAGTGAATAAAAGCAAAACCAGTATGGTGGGAAGAGTATGTTGACGAGTGAGGGAGTAGTGGCGCGTGGCTGACTGGCTGGCGAGTGAAGGCCACTCTTCGTTGCATTTTGACGCACAATACCAATTTAGTGGTTCTTTATGGTGAACAAAACAGATATTTATATATAACCTGTGTATATAATATAATAACAGAAAAATTATTTGTTTATTGTTTTATGAACATAATTGAATCACTAATATGCACAACATAATTTTGAGTACAGTGATGGTTCACACATTTTATTATATAAATATATCACAATACACACTACTGAATAATATTACTGCAAAAAAAAACAAAGAAAAAATCAGAGACATTGAAATAATTAGGTAATATCATCTTTGTGGCAACTTCCATTTGAGAGTTCGGGTGGAGCAGACCTTGTCTGGCAACTGCTCTGTCAATGTCTTTTTTTTTTTTGCCAGATTTCCTCGCCCTATTGTTGCCAAAATATGTCACCTACGATTTTTTTCCCCATGATCAGGGAACACAAATGAACACTTCTATAAGATTAACCCTTAAACTGCGCAACGCGCCTGCAGGCTCACGTCTGGTTTGCGCAACGCGCCTCCGGGTATTTGTATTTTTCACAGTCCATTCAAAACTCCCGCGGCTACATGGGGTTCACATCAGCTTCCTCAGGGCTCTTGTAAACAGATGCCATCTTTAAAAAAAATTGTGGTCCACATTCCCGAGTGTGGGAGCCTCGGTAGTGTGTGAGCAACCAAGGCTGGCGCTCGCAGCATGAGCGCACAGCACTGCTGTTCAGCGTGTGACCACAGCATCGCCTAATAATGTCAAAATATATATATAACTTGTATTATTTAGCTGTGATAGTGTTATAGAAGAGCCTGAGTGTGATAATGACTGGGTATAATGTTCAAATATCAGTGATTCAATACTGTTCACAATGTTCGCAGCGCTAGCCACAGCACCACAGCATTATTTCCACCATCTAGGAATCTTCAAATGATTTCTTAGGTTCCTTTTAAAAATAAACGTGTGGACAATTATTCATTTACAGGAATTAGTGACCAGGATTGTGATAATAGCAGGATTGTGGTTATAATTAACGTTGTGCGTAGTATTGTGGAAGGAGGAATTTTGGTGAGGGAGGGAGGGCGAGCATTGAGGTAGCCTCATTGTGTGTGTGTGTGTGGCTGCCACTCTT